GCAGGGCTGCTCTCCATCCCTCCGTCCCCCAGCCTGTGCTGATACCGGGGGTTGCCCCGACCCCGGTGCAGGACCTTGCCCTTGGCCTTGTTGAGCCCATGAGGTTCACACGGGCCCACCTCTCCAGCCTGCCCAGGTCCCTCTGGATGCCATCCCGTCCCTCAGGCGTGTCGACTGCACCCCTCAGCTTGGTGTCACCTGCAAACCTGCTGAGGGTGCACTCGATCCCACTGTCTGCGTCACTGATGAAGATATTGAACAGCGCTGGTCCCAGTACAGACCCCTGAGGGACACCACTCGTCACTGGTCTCCATCTGGACATCAAGCCGTTGACCACTACCCCCTCGATGCCACCATCCAGCCAATTCCTTATCCACCGAACAGTCCATCCATCAAATCCATCTCTCTCTAATTTAGAGAAGGATGTTGTGGGGGACTGTGCCAAAAGGCCTTACAGAAGTCCAGACAGATGGCATCTGTAGCTCTTCCCTTGTCCACTGATGCAGTCACTCCACCACAGAAGGCCACCAGGTTGGTCAGGCAGGACTTGCCCTGGGTGAAGCCGTGCTGGCTGTCCCGAATCAGCCCCCTGTCCTCCATGCACCTTAGCACAGCTTCTAGGAGGATCTGTGCCGTGATCTCCCCAGGCACAGAGGGGAGGCTGGCAGGTCGGGAGTTCCCAGGGCCCTCCTTTCGACCCTTTTTAAAAATGGGTGCAATGTTTCTCTTTTTCCAGTCACCAGCGACTTCTGACTGCCATGACTTTTCAAATATGGAGAGTGGCTAACTGGCACAGGTTGCCCAGAGAACTGGTGGATGCCCCATCCCTGGAAACATTCAAGGCCAGGTTGGATGGGGCTCTGAGCACCCTGGTCTGGGTGAAGATGTCCCTGCCCATGGCAGGGGGTTGGACTGGATGGCCTTTGGAGGTCCCTTCCCACCCAAACCATTCTGTGATTCTATGATTACAAATATATCAAGAAATAGGAATCCTATAATTTAATATTTTTACAATTCAGAATCAACTGGCAGTATATTATAAAGAACCAGGTGTCTTATACCAAATCTGGTTAACTACCGTGCCGAAAAAATGCAGACTGACATTCAGGTATTCCCTAGGACCATCTAACGTGCACCTAAAACAGCGCAAGGGTGAGAGTGTGCCACCAAGCACATCAACCACCACCTGGAAGATGAGAACGGGGAGAGATGAAGAGAACCAAAAAGATATTGACCAAAGATGATAAAAATAGCTTCTTCCCTCCACCTAACCGAGGGAAGCCTTTCTTTCCCAGGCTGATCTCAGACACCTTTTCACACATTAAATGCAAACGTAATGTAAGATGCTATCTTCTTTTTTAAAAAGGACCAGAGGGAAGAAGAGACAGTCACACTAAGATTTTCTAGTGTCCACTAATTTGGGGCACCCAACTCGGAATACCTCATTTCCAGTTTTCAGAAGTCCTGGTTGGAGTAAGAGTTTAATGAAATATTCTATAGCCAGAAAGAAGAAATTAAAGAAGTTAAGGGTTTTTTGGGGGGGTGGGGTTTTTTTTTGTGGTTTTATTTGGGTTTTTTTGTTTGTCTGGGGTTTTTTTTTAAGTTATAAAAATTGAACGCTTCCTGGGATTTTGGTTTCTGGTTTGGTGGGTTTTTTTTTGTTGAGTTTAGGCATGCTATACATACAGTAGGGAAGCTTAAAAACAAATAGCTGAATGTTAGCTGCACCTCTATTCCTGCTTTCAGCCTGAACTACCTTTCAAAGAAACAGGTTAAATACTAACATTTTACCTTTGCTCACTGAGAGGGTCTGCAGATTAATCTGCACTGTTTCTACAGCAACTAAAAAGCAAGACATGCTGCACTGAAACAAAATCTCCAGACCTCCTGTTTCTCTTCTCCCAAATGCTCTGAAAGCAATAGCCCTGTGGGCACAACATCACAGAAAAGGCAACCTGGAAGCTGGCAAAGCAGCCAGTGCATCTTCATTAAAGCTTCTGGACAGACAATATCCTGGTCTTTGAAAACAATTAAATATGAGTTATCGATGAGAGCAGGGAAAGATGGTGGTGGATGGAGAGATTGATGTACGTGCTTACCCCGCTAGCAGTCCTTATAGGCTTGGCCTTCAGCTTCGGTACCAGCACCTTGCGGTACTGTGGTGGAACAGCAGCGATGATGTCAACCAAACGCGGCTGTGCTGAAAGTCCGTACTTTGCTGACGTCTTGGTTTTCAGCCTGAAAGCAGAAATACCTCAAATTAACAATTCCATTCTGACTTGCAGACCCATATTCCACAGCAGTGCTATCGCATTACTGTTCAGTTACATGGAGATCTAGGTAGGTTCTCCCCATTTCCCTTTCCAGGTGCACTGCGTACCGAGATACCAAAAATGAACTCCGAATAAAGTTGACATGCAAGAATTGCCAATGTTTTGAGTTTCTGTATATTTTACTTCTAAGTATGATTTGATCAAAACATTGTGAAAGCTGCCCCCAGACGCTGGCTTACCCGTTCTCAGTGATTTAATTCTTTTCATAAGACTTCCACCTGATTAACCCCTACCGACACAGACTCTAGCCAAGTTAACTTCTAAGGCATTCATGTCAGTTATTTCCAGCATCAGCAAAAAGCTGGCAATTATATCATTTAAATGAAATAGAAACAGTGGGAGAAATTCAGGTTTTATTATTCCCCATATGTAAAGAAGGAAGAACTTTCTGTAAACAACAACTTCATTTATAACACATTGCTAAGAAAATCTGATTTAAACTTCATCCCTAAATTAATCTCTCCTCTCCCTGATGGAACTGACTTTGGGACTACTGAAGGATGAACACAGGTGGAACCACAAAAAGGCAACGACAAGTTTCTTAGAGTTTTTCACCAACACAACCCATTTTGTCCTCTGAGCATTGCCAATGAAGTAGCAAGGCACGATTTCAAATCACCACAGAATTTACAAATCTTGGTGGTATTTTTTAATCAGATGACAGGAAGAGAAATTACATTAGCCTGTGAAAAGAAAACATTTTAAAATACAGCCTGAACAAAACAGACTGTACAGGACACGTTCATCAGGGGTAGATCAGGTCTTCTGTGTCATCCCACGGTGACTTACTTATTCAGATTCACATCTTTTCCCTGCTCGTGAGCCTCAATTAATTGCTTTATGATGTCGGCTATCGTCATCATCATCAGCTCTGCATGGCTGAGGTCTCCTGAAATGAGAACAAAACAACAAACGACGTGTATAACCAGTGCTTTCTAACTGCTTGTGACAACCAAGGCGCATCGGCTCTGTACTTCATTTTTAATATTTCCTACAATTATTGCCTACAGAGGGAATTTTGCCACTGCGTCTCACTCTTGATTTGCAGCATTGCAAATCCCACCCCATGCTGCAACGAGGGTTTGCACCGTATAGGCTGTATGCATCGCTTACATTTCTTCCATACCAGCTTTGGGAGAAGAGGGGCATTGCTATTAAAAGATTCATCCATGCTTCCTAACAACAACGTGCATGGATGTCACCTTGTGCAGCTCCGTCTATGCCAGCAAGTGGTGGGACAGTAAAATATACTGTCCTGGTTTTGGCTGGGATCGAGTTAATTTTCTTCCTGGTAGCTGGTATACTGCTGCGTTTTGGGTTTAGGATGAGAATAATGTTGATAACGCACTGATGTTTTAGTTGTTGCTACACCAGTCAAGGACCTTTCAGCTTCCCCTGCTCTGCCCGGTGCACAAGGAGCTGGGAGGGGGCACAGCCGGGGGGGGCTGACCCAGGCTGGCCCAAGGGCTATGCCATACCATATGGCATCATGCTCAGTATAGAAACTGGGGGGGATTGGCTGGGGGGGGGTTTTTTGGTGCGGGTGGCTTTTGCTTTACCTATTAAACTGTTCTTATCTCAACCCACGAGTTTTCTCCCTTTTACTCTTCTGATTCTCTCGCCCATCCCACCAGGGGGAGTGAGCGAGCGGCTGGGTGGGGCTTGGTTGCTGGCTGGGCTTAAACCACGACACGTACACCCCAAACTGGTCAGAAACCCCACCAGCAGGGACACAGCTGCGTGTACAACCGCTCCAACAAGCCTTTGTCCGTGCCAGCTGTTCTGAAATCCGGCAGCGTTTACACCCACCCGGGAGAAGCACCGCAGCAATGCTCCCATCTGGTCCCTCTCTGCAGGTAGGTTTGTGGGACAGACCACACCATTGGTTGTCCTGTACTGCCCTGCATCATCTTCGCCGCTCCATATCCTTTCCCTTTTTTTTTTTTTTTCCCTTTGCCATGAGGGAAAAACCCAGCAACACCCAGACTCCCCCCAGCACCCCATTCTGCATCTGACACTCAGGAGCAAGGCAAACTCCTGAGCACCCACGTGGGTGCAAAGACTCTGCCTCCCAGTGACAGCAACCAATTCCACAGTGGGGAGAAAAAACGGGTGGCTCACAGAGGGGTGCCAAGTCCCTCCAACCCTCAAGCAAGGTTGGGGCTGGCCCTTCACCCACCTCCAAAAGAACACGGAGGGGGGCGAGCAAGGTCTTGCCTCGTTTTCCAACTCCACACACGCGCACGGCGTTAGGGGAGGTGGTAAAGCCCTGCCACCCCACAGCTCCCACCCCACAGGGCCGGAGGAAGCAGAGAACCATAGAATTGCTCAGGTTGGAAAAGACCTTGAAGATCATCGAGTCCAACCGTTAACCCAGCACTGCCAA